TCCCATAAATCAAATTCAGTGTCCTGATATATGAAGTTCAACGGTCCGATATGTAAAATTCAAATCCCCTATAGGTTAAATTACATGGTGCGAGTGAAAAAAGTATTACACACAATATTTTAGTGGACAGTATCTTCAAATTACAAATTTTTTGAAGGAGTCTTGTGAATCTTAAATACAGTGGTACCTTAGTACATGAACTCAGTTTGTTCCAGAAATCTGGTCAAGTTGTGATCCAGTCGAGGCCCAAGTTGCATTTCCCCATAAGAAATAATAAGAAATAGATAAATACCATGTACATTGATTACACCCAAGAACAATATGTGAAGGAAAGACTCAATCAGGGTCAAAGGTCAGTTAATGCCTCTAGGTCAATGGTTCCCAATGGGGTCCACAGGGACCCACAGTCAGCTTTACAAGGAGCTGGGAGGGAGCAGAAACGTGGATCTTCTGTGTGTCCCTGACGACCGGGTTGGGAATCACTGATCTAGGTAAAGGTCAGGTCATGTGGGGTTTCAAAATATCCTACTACAGTGAGTCACAATCTCCGGATATAATATGACTATAATTCTTGTTATTATATAACGTGCAGTTGATGTAAAGCATCACCCAATATTGAACAAGCATCACAGATATTTCAACTTAATTGCAATTCTGCAATTTCCTGCAAGAACAATATGTGAAAATTCGAAATGAAAGATCTTAAGCGGTTAGTGTCTGGATGCCGTGGAAGCGTGTTTGACTGACGTGCAGGTGGCTTGGACACTCAGAGATGGTCCCTCCTTGCTCATTGGGCGGCACTGTGCCCCCGCCCCCCCCACACCCCGACTCTGCTAATGCAGATTTTACATGTCTTACTGCACTGTGCTGTGTACCTGCACTGATCCGGACCTTTACATGCAAAATGTATTTCCCAGGCTGTGACGGGAACGAGGCTCCGTAACCATGGCGATCCGAGGCTTTCCTCAGCTTGTGCCGACCAGTCAAAGCCAAGGGCTCCCAAGGGCTATTAACGCCCCTCTTTCCCAATCCCGGCCTCTGTAGTGTGAGTCACATAGCCATACATTTACCAGGGGAAGCACTTTTCTGCCACACATTAGCCGTTTTGCCCTCACGTTTCAGAGATAAACCTTAGGGGATAAGTCATGCATTTGACAGAGAACCAGCCTGAACTGTGTAAATGACAGAGTGACAGGGCTCTCGGCAAGGCCAACCGACCTGTCACTGGAGACAATGCAGTCTATTGGCCTGGGCATTGCAGTTTTTCATGGATCATGAGTGACCCCATGTGGCTGGAAGCAGTACTTTTTGGAGTAATGACACTACTCAGAATAAGAACAATAATAATAGATTTTTAAATAATAAATGTTCTACACATATGGATTCCCCTGGGTCCTCTGGTTTTCTCCTGTGCTCAGGCTAATTGAGCCTTACTCTTACGTTACCATTAGTGCGACCTCATAGTGACAGTGTTCCCTCCGTTACACAGTCAGATGACAGTTTATCCAGAGTTAGATGCAATGCACCTCGTGTCCCTACAGGGGGCAGCAGTGGCACTGGTGGTTGAGGCAGATACAGTCATTCTATGTGTTCTCTCACATTAAACTGACTAAAAATATACTCCTTGTATCCCCTTTAAACATCACACCAATAAACAAAGACATCCACGCTACATCCATGTTGTTATATTTATAGCTGATTTATCACTGAGAAACGATGGCCGTAGTTTATTTTAACCACCAACAAAGCAACAGGTACCAGTGTTTAGCAAACAAAGGGCCACCTTACAACATGAAGGCAAGACAGGAAGTGATGTCGCGTTGGGGGAGATTAGGCCCTCATTCCCACTAATGTTCCTACCGTCATTTATCTTTAAATCCTCCTCATTAATCGGAGGGAGTGTCATTGGTCAAAGCGCGCTTTAGCTGGGAAGAGGCAGGTGAAAACTCACTGCAAACGGCGATTAAAACACCGTATCAGAACCAGAGACAACATCTCTACTACAAGAAGGACTAAAGGTAAAGAAATCAGCCATTCAATTTTTATTGTAACAAATATGCATGATTATTCCAACAGTACACATGACTAATGCTGAACAGATTGTCCTTAGGGATGTGAGAAAGGCAAACAGCAATACAAGAAGGTGCACTGTGAAAATTACATTAAATAACAACTTTAAAAAAAATTTTTTGGTCAGGTCTGACTGCAAGATGAATGGAAGAATCCTCTTATTTTTCCTTTGGATGATGCTTCTAGGAGTTGTAAGTACTATACGCATATCAAATCATTTACAATACATTGATCAATCATTAAAATAACCTAATATTTCACACAAAGTAATTCCTTGTCATTTTTCTATGACAGGTCTATGGACACCGTCGCCAACAGAGTCATTCTCACAGTAACGAGGTATAGAAATTCCATTTTCTGTAATCTCATGTAGCTAAGCTATCCGTTCTGTTTAAACAGCATCTCAGAGAAAATGTTACATGTAAGCACTCTAGAAAAACAATTTTATTTAGTTGTAGTTTTCTATACAGATCAAGTTTGGACATTTTAAGGCTTATTAAGGATTTAAACGTTGGCCAAGCAAATGTTATTCCTGGGTTTTTTGTTTTGTTTTGGAGAACTTCATTAACAGCCCATGAGATAAACACTTGGTTATACTGGCGTGTCTCTGTTGCAGATACCCCACTTCTTCCAGCGCCCACCATCTCCCCCTCACCCTTCAAAGCCTTTATGGCCTCTCATCCCAGGACTGTTCCCGTTTCCTTGGCCAACACCTTTCCCAAAGTGGGTTCCAACATCTCCAACACAAGCTCCACCTCCTGCCTCAATATCCACCACTGTGCCTGTAACCCCTGACAGGGGTGACAACTAACAGACCATGGACCGCATTTCACTCGCTCAGCCCTGAACAATCTCAACGTCTTTCTGTAGTTGTCATGTCTGTTGATTACATTTGACCACCCATTAAAATCCAGAAGCAAGTTAAATGTCTCTGTGTTTTGATATCTTGTGGTTGTCTGAGAATGACACATGTTTGAAAGCATTGAGAATTTCGTGGAAGAAGTAGTGATGAATTCCTTTAAGTTTGGGCAGGTGTTTGGATTCAAACTGTGGTCGGACCTCACATTAGGAAAATCACACAACTATGACAACAACTATACCAGCAAAACAATGAAAACTGTAAACTCAGCAAATTTAAGTAGTTCACGGTGATGTTTTGGAGTTGAATCACTGTTTCCATCCTTAAACAAAGAAAAGGTTCTTATATTAAATGTCAATGGAAATATTTTTGTTTCGAGTTGCTAACTAAAATTCGTCTGAGGTGGCGGGGAAGGGGGGGGTGGCAGCAGACATAAGAACTGGGGGCAGCCAGACGCGGTTAGCTATGACCTATCTGTCTGTGGGAAGCTACATCTTGCTAAATTTCACAGCGGATTACAGTGCAGTGGGATAATGAGCCCTTGCCGTCTGTCTCCTGCCCACACAGCACTATTGCAGGATTAGTGGTTGTGGAAGGAGGAGACGGAGACTTGGTTTGCAGGTGCGTCGTGGTCGCTGGGCTCTGGTCCAGCGTGACTCAGGTGTCTGCAGAACTCACCTGTCACACCAAAAGGCGTTCGGGGAGTTTCGCCCAGTCAAACCGCTACATTACCTCATCTCACAGCGAGAACCCTACTACTCCACATTCAAGCCCAACGCAAGCTGCTCTGTCAGTAATAGAATGACTCATACCATCAGTGGAGGAAAATCAATTTTCATACCGGAAAAAAAGTTCAACAGTTTTTGTTCAAAATTCTGTGGGTTGGATGAGACACCCAGGACTGAGTGATGTGTCTTCGCAGTATGAATACATCAGCATTTTATTTTCTTTACTCAGTCCTTTGATATCCTGAACTGAAAGTCATCAGATTCTCCAACTACGCGTAACGCAAAACTTCAAACGGGCCTCAAAATGCGACAGGTCTGACCCTCTGCGTGTTTGCTTATCAGGGGAAATATCGGCAGGGAACGAATACACAATCTGATTCGCCAGATGAAAAAGGTGCTTCCAAAATGAAGCAATTGAATTTCTGGAATTGTATTAACCAAGTAAAATGGGGACGACCTCCTAACCTGTGCCCCTAGTGTAAAGAAAATATTCTATTTACTACAGTAAAAAAAAAACATGTGCGGCTGAATGTCCTTTGCACTTCTGCCTCCTAGTGGCTAAACACAAGTACTGCACAAAAGAGTCAGATGGCAGAGCTGATGCCTTAAAGCTATATATAGGGAAGCGTACTTGTAATCGAAAGATTGCTGGTTCGAATCCACCGTTGAGGTACCCTGAGCAAGGTACCGTCCCCAAGCACTGCTCCCTGGGCGCTGAATTAGCTGCCCCCTGCTATGTCACATTGTCACATATGGGTTAAACGCAGAGGACACATTTCGTTGTTGCGCACTGTGTGCTGTGGTGTGTTAACAATGACCACTGATCACCTAATTCTATTGTCTACAAAAGTCTACTTGGAACTCATTTAAAACAGCAACTTTATAAAAACAGACTGATAGAACTGTTTGTGTAATTATTCCACCCCTTTTCATGTTAATAGCCTCATGTACAGTATCACTGTCACACCATAGTTATCCTAATCTTATCATAACTTGAAAATGTTTAAAAATGTCAGTTAATCACCAGGCACAGGCTGCTTTGTCACCTACAGTTTGATTAGCAGGTGAGTAAATGAGGCCTGGTGGTCGCTCCGTTCCTGTTCCAGCATGAATGGGCTGGTGTCACGGGATGCTTTGGTTCTGTCCAATGCCGTTTCAGTGCCGGAGATATAATGGTCCTGATGTGAAGCTGCAGAGTTTTCCTATCGGCAGCTGGGTGGCGACCCAGTTTGCATTGAGGCCTTTGTCTGTCCTGATGCTACAAGCTGCTAGCTTGACCAATCAGGGTGTATCTACAAGGTGGTATCTACACAGAGCTGCAGCCACTACCCTTCCAGCTTTGACATATCCTGATAAGGCACCCTGAGCCAACCACCGGCGGCCCAAAGTGCTCAACACAGACCCTGAAGCAGCACTATACACTGAGTTAAGTCAAACTGACAACAGCATCAATATTATTGGATGCATTAATACCCCCAGGGCAGCTGAGGGCGCTGTGCCATTTTTACCTTCTCTATAAACCTGGCTTCTGTGTCTCTCCTGACCCCCAGAAAACACAGCTGGACCCCGAAGCCTGAGCCCTCTCTCCATATTTATATGTTTCTTCCTCTCAGCTGTTTAATTGAATCCATCTCTACCCTGTGCCCAAATAAAGTCCTGCTTCCCTCCTTACTGCTTCTTTGGATTGGATTTGTTATTCTTCAATAAAGACCAAATAGATTAAAAAATTTTTGCCCCCCCCCCCCCGACCTGGGAGACATCCCCTTGAAACGGATAAGGTACCCATAGTTTCTGCAGGAATGGCGCACATGGAGTGGTCACATGACGAGGAGGCGTGGCTTCCCCTGGCGGTGATACTGATTGGTGGCCGTCTGACAATATGGGATAAAGAAAAAGAAGACATATCTACCTCTTGAGGAGGATCTGTTACATCACCGTGTGAGTGACCTGCATCCAACACCGTGGCCTGAGACAATACTCCCCTGTTGTTCAACCGCTTTCACTGGAAAGCGATAATTATGGGTGGGTGGATACCAGACAACAAGACACGTAACAAGCAGCATTATAAGCCCGGCGATGAGGTAACAGACAGAGACACAGTCTTTTTCCAGTGCCCTGACAGTCATTGTTGGCTTTGTGACTGGTTTGTTTCAGTCGTCCTGTGACCCGAGCAGGCCGCCTACACGAGCTGAGGCCCGCTTCAGCCTGTCAGGTCCACTCACAGTGTGGATGAGGTCAGCACTGGTGCCCCAACCGCTACGTCACGGGTGGTGCACTGATTTCCATAGTGATCTCACATGTAAAGCACCACTTCAAAAGGTGTGAGTGTTTCCCTTTCACCTGTGTGTGTGTGTGGGGGGGGGGGGCATACTTAATCCAGAGTAATTACAGGTAATCAGTGGCAGTCTGTCTCTGTCTTCTTCCATTGCTGAGATGAAAAGGCTCGCTCAGTAACCTGATTGGCTGCCTCGGCCCGCGCTCCCAGCTTAAGTATGCCCGACATCACCATGGAATCTTCCGGAGATTATTTTTTTTAGCTTTCTTATTGCTTGCTTCTTTCCTTCATCACCCTACAGCATCTTACCAAAAAAAAAAGGTACCTGACTAAAAATACTTCCAATATTCTGGTGTACAAGCAACCTTGTTTGTGCTTCATGTAATTCTGACGGCGTCAGGCAGTACACTTCGCATTTATGAGATCAGAGAGCTTTCACTGCATTGTCTGAAACTTGAACATCACTTCAGCAGACCTGCGTGACCCTGTATGCTTGCTGAAGCTTTCCGAAGATGCAGGAGACTTTTGCACTGATGTGTCTGCTGTACGCCACGGCATCGGGACTTCCTGTGAGTATTTTATCTCCGTAACTCGTTTCTTTGTTTGGCGGCAGAAACTCTGATTGAGGTTTGCAAATTTCGTAACTGCATTAACTGGGATTTGCATTCCTAGTATTTAACATGGAATGACAAACTGGGAATCCTTTCGAAAAAGAAGCTAATGGGCCATAATGTAGACACTGGATACGTTTCCCTAAGGAAGCTGGAGGCTTTATGATTCTGCTGTGCTGTAATTGCACTCCTCCGCTTTCTTCGCTTCTGGATTAAACACTTTCCTCACTCGTTCGCTTTCCCTGCCCCTCTGCCCAGGTGACCCAGTCGCCAGACCAGGCCGCTCCCTCCACGAAGCTGCTCCGCACTGACCTGATGGAGCCCGGGAAGCAGGTACAGCTTCTACTACAGTCAGCTGTGAGCTGTGGATCACCCAAAGGCCTCAGCTCAGTACCCAGCCAGGCTCTGGTCCCTGTAGATCCCACTGGGGTTGCCTCTGCCAGTCCATCTCCTCCATACCCTCACTTAGCTGCTCAGCTTCTGTGTCATTTTAGCTCATGATCCTGCTCTCTGATCCACCACAGCACATTCTGTCACTGACAAGCTTTTAATATCCACCCAGTAAAACCATAGTACTGTAACAGCAACATCCTGGTTTAGTTCACTCACACTGTGTCACATTTAATTTTTCCCAGTTTCTTTCCTTGGATTTGTCTTCATTTGTTTTTCTTGGTGTTGATGTATTTCCCAGGCATTCCTGCCGTATGGGTATTTCCAGTTCTTTCCGGCACTTTCCGGCAGCCAGCAGGTACGGCGTTCAGAGGTGATGTCGTGGCTGATCCTGTCTGGTCACTGTACTGGTTTTCCCCGACGCTCGATCTGGCCCAAAGCCAGGTTCCTGTTTGAAGATCACATCAGACCCTTAATTATAGCAAGTTATTTAGCCCTCAGGAGATCGATTTCTGTCTTTTTTTATCTGCTGTTACTTTGTTTGTTGGATGCTATTGCCAAATTAATGAGCAAGTGAAATTCCTTTTGACATCCATTGAATTTCCCCTCACGTGTGATTGGCTCGTTTGCTAGACACATTTTGGGTCAACTGTCCTCATGCCATTTTGTTCTTCCCACCAGGCCCCCGCATTTGGGACGCCCGTGCTCATCCCGGCTCCGTTCCCCCAGCTGCCTGCAGGAACTGCGCAGCCTGCGCAAACTGCGCAATTGTTGCAGCCAGGACAAAATGTATGAAAAATGCAGGAAATGCAGAAATCGATAAAGGCATTTTCTAATGCATTTGTGGGCCTTTCGTTTAGACTGTGATAGGTCTTTCTCACTTCCATATGCTGGTCCCGTAAGCTTTTTCCACTCTGCAGTTTATCCTGTCCCCCTCTCTCTCTGATGCAGATTCCTCCGACCCTCTACGTGTTTCAGCAGGCTCCGGTAAATACACCCTGTCGCTGTAGAAATGGCTCCTTCCCCCTGCTTTCCCTGATGTTCCCAGCCTAGCTTTCAGGCCCTCTCACTCGCCTCCTTCTCTGTTCTTTCCCAGCAGGAAAGTGTGGGCAGCGGCAGCTCTGAGGAGCCGCAGGTAAGGGCAGCGGGGGAGGGGGGGGGGCTTTCCTCACGCCCAAGCGGCTAGCTTTGTTCTAAGGGGGTAACTCTCTATCTGCTCCGCACAGGGAGGGAGAGGCAGGGGTAGACTGGAGGTGTACGTGCCCAACTTTGGGGCAGCACCACCCACACTCCCTGGAAGCCTCCCGAATGGACTGGGGGACAGTCCTGCCATGGGCATCTTACCTGAGGGGCAAGACGGAGGGCCGCCTAGCTCTGCTGTTCTATCTGCCTATGGCATACTTCCTGTTACAAGGGTACTTCCTTTCTCTGGAGTGCATCCTGTTTCGGGTATACTTCCCGTTTCCAATATCCATCCTGCCTCCGTCCACACTGTGCCCGGCGTCCCCCCCACCGATCTGGACAACCGGCAAGCTACAGACATACCAACGGTCCACAGCCGTGCCCGACCTGCCAAGAGCAGCACCAATCCTGCTTTGGCAAAATCTGAAGTCCCGCCCATTCGTGTAGCCCCGCCCATTCGTGTAGCCCCACCCACAGAACCGGCACTGCCTGACATTCCTATGCCACGCCCATCACCAGCTCCATAGCTTGTTGATAAGGAAACAGGTTTTTCAGAATGTAATTAATACCCAGGGCAGGATCCATATACTGTAGCCAATTTTTGTGGGATGCAAATTCAATAAAGTGATAAATTCAAACTAATCTCTCTGAGTGTTCTTTTTTATACTGTTATTATACTGTTATGATGATTCAGCTTAAAATGCATATATTCTCACACATGCCACTCATTGCATTTGCATCAAACAGCTATTTTCAACCTAAAGTGCACAAAATATTGTAGAATCTTGAACTCTGATCCACTGCACACATAACAAATTGCTCATCCTTAGTTGATCCTGAAAGTGTATATTTCTATCCTCCGTCCCATTTACTTACATTTATTAATAAAAATAAAGTCTCCCTCAAACAGGTAACACTGTACTGTTAAAATACATTTTCCCAACCGAGGGTCAAATCCTCAGGGTAAATGTAGCTTTTCAATTCAACCCGTGAATTATAGTAATTATGTTTTCTACTGGCATTAAAAGTTTCAGTTTGGATAAATGGCTTCAGGAAAAGGGTCCAAAAATAAGACGAACCTAAAGGGAAGCCTGTGTTACCTTAGAAACATTCAGTTTCATTAATAAAATGGTACAAATAATTTTTTGAAGGGGACCAATAATTATTCTTTGAGAATTTTTTTGGACCGTGCTTTGCGATGCTGTGGGAGGTGTTGGGGCAGATTTCGTTAAACCCAAACACAGGCTTCTACCCGGATTCCTGACCAGAACCTTGTTCATTCTCGTTGCCGGTATGGGACTGCATGGTCTGTCCTCGTCCTGCCAGCAGAGGAATTGGGATGTCCTCGTTTGTTACCCTGGCGACACGTCAAAAGACATGCTCTGAAAATTGTGGGATGTCTTCCACTGGATTTTGTCACTGTTTTGAACATTAAAGGCTTTAGATATTTAACAATAACATTATTATTATCATTATTATTTCTTTTGTTATTATTATTATTATTATTATTATTATTATTATTATTATATAACTTCCCACAAGTGATTATTGTATTTGTATGCATCTGCGTGCAGGACGTGTAGCTTTTTAATCTCAAATTTATTCATTTGTTTTGTGTTTGTCTGAATGACTCATAACAAGAACAAGATGCCCTTTGATTAGCGAGAAAACGTCCTTCAGATTCAGTCGTCCCGTCCCCCCCCAGCCCCCGCTGGCACCGCTGTCTCCCCAGAGAGCGGGGAGCGTGGAGATGACCTGCACGCCTTTTTGATCTCAGACTCAGCCCGCCATCAGGGCTGGAGCGATACGTTTAAAACGCTTTTCATCTGACCATAATGACTACAGCAGTGAGTCAGTTTCACAATTTCCCACGACAGGACAAGGAGCACTGACCAGTCCCAGCCAAACTCACGCTTACATTACACGGGGCCATGTGCCCAGCTATGGACAGAGCACTATATCAACTAGCCAAATATCTAATTCCTCCAATGAACTGAACCAAAAACTTTTAAATGATCTTGTACTGGTCTTTTTTGTCCTTTCTTGGAAATCATGTAAACAAACATTTATGATGTCACTGTTTTTTATGGGAGATTGACATTGGCGCTAAAATACTCGGGGCTGTAGCCCCGAGTGATCGGACCTAAGGACGCCCATGCTGTACAGTATCATACGATATTTTTAAACATCGTTTCCTTTGATGCGTGTAAATGTGTTTAGATTTTTGGTCATTTTTTCATTTTATTCACCCTCACACCCACTTCCTCCCAAAAAAAAAATAAAATGAACCCCATGAACAGTAAGCCACAGCTGTTGGCACAGTGCTGACCGCCGTTACGCTGATAAACAGGCAAGCTCCCGTCTGAACACTCCGCACTGGGGCCCGGCAGTGAAATACAGGACCTGGCGTTCCCAGGGGCCTTTCCAGGACGCCTCCGATGTTCAGTTTCCCATCGGACCTTAAACAGCACCTTGGGCTGCAGACCAGGGGGGACGTTCAGAAACGCTCGCGTATGCAGTATTCCGTGGCGTGTTTTCAGAGCTGGGGTGTCATTAAGGGCGAAGCGTAACCTCACCACTGATCATTTCCCAAATCCCGAGGCGACACAGTAGAATTCCCTCGTGGGTGATGTCAGACACTCGCCGATTGGTTACCCACTTTGGGGCGAAGATATTTAAACCCGGGACCTGCCCTGCTCCCCACTCTACACCCTCTCCAGCGACCATCTCCTCCATCTGGAACCCGGGAAGGTGATATACCTATCCGATCATTCCTTCAGCGCATTCCTTCATTTATAATACCATGGGATCCGTCAAGCCTGTTATCTATACTTATGAGATTATTTCCATAGAGAAAGCGTGTTCCTCTCTAAGGACATTGAATTACCTGGTGACTGTGGTAATTAAACTGCTTAAAACACATGTAGAGAGAAGGTCTTTGCTCTATGAGAAGGGCTGTCACAGATTTATCAAGAAATGAACCGTAAAACTGTCTTCAGGAGATGTATCTAGCAGGCAGCAGGCATATCAGATACCGTTAAAATGGACCTAATGTAAGTTGCTCTCATAATTACAAAAATCATGTAGTTCGTTCCTTTGCCTCATTATCTAGCACCCTCTTCATTTTTAATAATGTGCCTTTGATGGGTTTCTTCACCCTGGTTTTGTTTTTGCAGGCTGTTGGGGAATCCGCGACAATGAAGAGCGCCCTCTTGTGCCTCTGTCTGGTCAGCACGATAGGTGCTGCTCCTGTAAGTCCCGCCACTCCCCGCGCATTTACTTGCACTGCTCTCCAGGGGGCGCCGTGAAGGGTCCAGCTGCCTAATGATTCTGAAACTAGGTGTTTTTTTTTCAGATGAAGACCTTCTATGAGTATCTTCCTCAGGCTGGAGCCCCACAGGTAGGCTACCCCCATCTGTCAGAGGTGGCAGCATCATTATGGAACAATATCCCATATTTGACCACAATTTGAGGTCCTGAAGAAAATGGGTCTTAAATGTCATGATGTGTCTGCATGTGAATACAAAAGATAAATATTTAATTTGTTGTAAGATAACCTGGGAATAATGCCCTACTGGGCCATCTTCTTTCTGATTCTTCCAGCAAAGAAGCGGTCCGTACTTCCCCCTGGCACAGCCCCCACCACAGCCAGGCCTCAACGGCCCCGTCAGCATTGAAATGGTACGTAGCTGCCAATCTCCTATTTCATACTTTTTGATTCCATGTGTGCATTATACAAAATAGTTT